TCTATAGAGGCTGCATTCGATCGACCTATCCAGGTTGACCCTGATAGCTGGAGAAGCCCTTGCTACTCCACAGCGCCTGTATCATCGGAATTTGTTAAGGTGTGGTGGAACAACAAGTTTGCAAATGGTTAATGAACATATTTCTATTCCCGCTCCCCCGAGAAAAAAAAAAGAAAAAAGAAAAAAAAGTGGCTATGTTGTTCTCTCTGGCAGTCTGTTGAGGCTTCTTGTGATGTTTTCAACGCTATGAAATCTTTCTGGTTTTATGAGTAGCAGTGTTGTGATGCTCCATGGGGCGTATAAATTTTATAGCCGCGAGTTCAGACGGTCAAAATCTTTATTTGGGTGTAGTTTGACTTTGGGTCTACAAAATTTGCCTGCCGTATGTGCTGATGCTGAGATCAAAGACCTGAGATACAGCAATTATTGGCAAGGTCTGTCAAAACTGGGCAGAACTCTGTTCAAACCGTCTTCCTCTGGCTGGTTACAACCATCCAACAGGTGAAGGAGATGTACTTGAGAAGCCCAGGGCCTGCATCATTTCTATCATTTCGCCAGTGCTTGTCTTACTTTTCTTGAATGTGTGTTGATGAAGAGGACAATCGAATGGTGTGAAATGAGGGTGGCACTTGCGTTTCATGCATTAAGGAAGAGGCGCGAAGCGAAACAGGGAGAGGCTTAGATTTCAGGGGAGAAGTGGAAAAGAAGGGAAACAAAAACCAGAAGGGAATTAGTTAAGCAGGCTTTCGTGTTTGGTATTAGTGCGGACATCGGGGCAACCATCACGGGATTGGGTAAGTAGCTGGGAAATGGATGCGTTTTGCTCACGGGGACTATGCCCTGTGGCATGGCTTTGCATCCCTCCATGTCGAGGGTGTGTGTGTGTGCTCCGTCTGGTTACTTCGGCACATGCAGTCATGGCCGCGACATGCTTTTGTCCCAGCATGCTACTGTCACAATATGGGGTGTGATGTTTTGAGACTATGCCTTGGTGGCATGGCTTTACATCCCTCCATTTCGTGTGTGTGTGTGTGTGTGTGTGTGTGTGTGTGTGTGTGTGTGTGTGTGTGTGTGTGTGTGTGTGTGTGCGTCGTTTGGTTACTTCGGCACATGTAGTCATGGCCGCGACATGCTTTTGTCCCAGCATGCTACTGTCAGAATATGGGGTGTGATGTTTTGAGGCACCACTACTGGCTGGAGGGGATGCTTGTTTTTCATGGGCTGCCCTTTTTTGTTCACGAGGCCCTGTGCGCAATGCCTCAGTTAGATCTCAGCCCCTGTAGAAACGGGGGCATGGGTTCGTGTGCTGGTTGTTTGCCTGCGATGGTACTTGGTGTGTCTACCAAACTAAGATTCTGCTCTCTACTTAGCGACTGAGCTGTCTGCTTGATCTTGAGGCGAGATACATTAAGCTGATTGCTGTCCTGGAAAACGTGTTTGACTTGTGCTTGGCAGGAAGGAAATGTGTTTTTTTTTTTTGTTTTTTTTTTGACTGGATTAGACACATTGCAGTTGTCGTCTCAGTTATAAAGCTGCAGGATCTAAGTCTCTTGTGTTTTTGGTGGATTTGTCGCCTTGATTTTTCTTTTTCGTCTGCATGTTTGTTCGTTTGGCTGTTGTTTCGGTCTGTCTATCTCGTCGCCTGTGTGTATGTTGGGGCGTGAGCGAAGGTGCCTTCGTACATCTCCAGATCTGTTGCAGGGAGCTATGACAATGAAGGAATTGCAATCTTCGCCTTGGTCTTCACCTTTTTCTTATATTTGAAGGTACGTGTTGACTGCTGTAAGCAATGATATCTCGCTGTGCATCACACGCATTGGGACTCCCTCACCCCTTCCCCTCTCTAATGTGCCTGTACCAGTTTAGGCAAATCCTTAAGCAAGAGCTTTGTTAAGAGTGCCAACCAAGTGCTGCTGCTGCAAAGGGGTCCAGTGACCTGTTCCTTGTCGTCAATCAACAAAATGCAACAGGGAATTTTTTTGTTAGCCCCTGTAAAAGGCCAGCAATCTTACTAGCGCCGACCAATGCTCTATCGGATTCTATCCAGATGTTCGTGAACTGAAAGCATCGTCAATGTGATTGAATATACGTACGAAGCACCCAACCTCCGAGGCTCGTGACGGTATGCATTGCTTGCAAAGATGTGGCTCAAAGGCTAAACCACCACTACGTTCGTTTCATGACCGCCCTTGTTACCACAAAGTAACCCCTTTTGAATGATGGATTGCCGATCCATTTATTTATCATAATCTGAGAGTGAGGGCGCATAAGGATGAGAAAAGGCGATGGTGTTCTGAGCACAAAAGGTGAATTTACATGGAATAGATGCGTTGAACCCAGGGTCAGACATCCTCCTCGTCACCTTTTCTCATCCGCGTGCGCCCTCACCTTCAGATTATGATAAATGCAATTTTATATGTTTAGTATTGTTTACATAGTCCCTGTGGAAAATATATTAGGAACTGCCTTCTCGTCCTCCTTTTCGAGGCGCTAAAACAGATTCCCTTCCGTCTTTTAGATTCTGCTATGGTCTTCCCCGGAACATAACGCATATGCGTTGTATTCGAGTTTTGGAAAAAAAAGTCTAGGATTCAAATCGAACGCATTTGTGTCGTATTCGAATTGAAGGGCTGTTTGAGTAGAACACATGCGTTGTATTCAAATTGAAGGGCTGTTCGAGTAGAACGCATGCGTTGTATTCGAATAGAAAGCAATCTATGCGTTGTATTCGTTTACAAAGCATGTGTTATGTTCGGGGAAAGTCGGTAGTTTAGTTCTTTGACATATGGAACATGTTAGACACTTCCAGCAAGCTCACAGTCAGAGTATACCCACGCTAGGAGTTTTCCGTCCAAGTGCTGTACAGAAGTGCGGTCATGTACATTCAGGTGTAGGCTTTAATAGCAATCGGATACGCGCAGGGAAATCATAAGTGTGAATCTGCCCTGAGAGTGTGTTGCCATTCCTGGCTAGTGCACTGTTTTGGCATTTGCTCCTATGTGGTGGCATTCCTGAACGAGTCTCAATAGGGGTATGCCAGTCCCCATCCAGGCTACCACCCAGGCTGCCTCGGGGGCCTGTTTGGCCTTTTCCAGCTGGGCAATTTGGGGAAAGTCCCCAGCAAGGTCCTGGACAGGCCCAATGGGAAAGGAACAAAAATCCAGAAAAATCTGAAAGGAGAGTTATGTTATGTTATGCAGGGTTACACTTTGGGCTGAGGGTCGCTTCGATATCCGTTATTGAATTGAAATAAAGAAGTGCAAGGAATATGAGCGAAAGCGATAGACAGAAATCCAAGTACGAAATTGTCCAGATAGTCATGTACCAAGCAGAGAGCACAAATGCACCAGGATACCATCCAAATAAGAGCAATACAATGAACTCGTGTGCCAATGTCAATGCTCTCTGGCCACACCAACACAATATCCAATGTGGCTCCTACTGTCTGGCGCCCATCGCCCAGCCTACACTACTCAGCCTATCGACACCTATCTACGTTCATGCAACTGGATTGCATTGAAGTTAAAGACCAATGACCGTGATGCCATCAGCAATGCAGACCGCCAGCATACACCGGTACTTTCTCTCTCCTCTCCTCATCACACCTTGACTCCCTCTGCATGCACCTCCTACCCGAAGATCACCATCACCATCACCTGCCACCACAAGCTCGGCCCTGCTATGGTCTTTGTGCGCCCGCTGCCACCGCAGCGCCCTCTCACCTCTCAGCGCTGGTGTGCGCCCCAGCCTGCCAGCGCTAAGCAGCACTCACTCGACACTGCAGCAGCGTGGCAGCAATGCCTTCGCAGGCCAGCCTTTCAGGCTCCAAGTGTTTGCCGCATTCTCATTGGCTCGCAGTCCATGTGTGATGACAATGCTGGATTCTCATTGGCCTGCGGCCATTCCGTGATGTGTCGGCCTCCCACAGCCTGTGCCCAGGGCGCAACCGCCTGAGCCCTGGGCTCAACTATACAGCGCAGCTCTTGCTTCTGGAAGGAGCGTGAAGGCTCACGCTATTCTGTGGCCAACTGGCGTGCTGCAACTGTCTGATACCCCACATATGAAAATGTCAAAAGTAGGCCTCACATGGTTATTTAGGCCCGCCTTCACTTAGGGCGGGGACGAGGCTTGCTGGGGGCCGCAGCGCAGAACACTGGCATGTCTGATGAGGGCCCCGTGAGGGCTCATTCCTCGCAAAGGGATTAAAAAGAAGAAATCACATCACCCTCCTTTTTAGCTGTTTTAACCCCCTTTAAACCACTGGTTCACCCTAGGCAAAGTTCGGGCCTGGGCCGGTAGCAAAAGCAGCAGGCCACTTTGAAAAGGAGCCGTTGCAGGCTCGCAAGCCTTGGAAGTTAGACTTAAAGCACCAGTATATGCCAGCTGTCGGCAGCGGGCCCCTTTTGGGGGCTGCCCGCTGCCTATGCATTTATCTACGGCGCTCGGCCTCCCAAATTTTAGGGTAGGCTCAAAACAGGTTCTCCAGTTGCCTGGGGCCGTGTACTGGTGGTTTAAACCCTGTTTATACCCCACAAAGCCCCTAAGGTGACATATCACCAAAGTCAAAGGTAGGTGCGATATGGGCACTCTGGGTTACTTGGGTTACTTTTTGTTCCACCTCATTTTTTGCCTTACCTGGTTCACCTGGGCAAGAGGGTCGAGGCTGCCTTCGCCCGAATGCTCTGGCCGGGCAAGTGGTCACGGGCCACTATGACAGCCTAGGTCCCCATTCTTTTTTGGGGAATTGTTTCAGTCAGGTGCAGGGAACCAATCAATGGGAACACAAATTTCTGAGCAGCGATGGACTCGAAGCTGGACAATATATATGTCGATAGCAGAATTACGAAGCCGAGAGCACACCAAATGAGTACACACTGACATTCAAGTCTGTTGAGAGAGAGCGCACAACTTTCCCCATCTGCTTGTCAACACAACCACAATGTAGAAGCTAACTATGTAGCAGCCATTACGTGACTGCCTATGCTACTCTCCTACTCTCTCTCTCTATACTCATCCTACTTCTCTCCCTTAGTCTCTTTGTGTCTGTTCACACTCCTATCGTCTAGCGATGCTTTCCGACTCTTGACCACGATGATGTGCCTCTCTGGCCTTCACCAGGTAAGTCCGCCTGTTCCAATGGCTGTCGTGCTTCCCTGATCATCCCAGTGTCAGCACCACTTTCGCCTTCCAGTGCAGCTATGGCTGCTGCTGGCAGAGAGGCTTGCTGTGCCTGCTCACCTTCCTTCCTCGATGAGCGTTGGACTGGGTGCGGGCGCTTGCCACAGGGCTAGCACCGGCAGCCACTGCCCCCGAATGCGTGGAATGTGGCGGCCTCTTCTCTTTTGTCACTTTCTGGAGGCTGCGTCTGTGTGCGCTGGAACTCGCGAACTCCTAGACTGAGAACCTTCTGGACTGAGTACCAGGGGTACTGACCTCTGGAAATAACTGAGAGGCAGGGCCTACCGGTTAGCTGTAGAGGCTGTGGCCCAGCATTCCTCAACTGCACAGCGCCGGCCTTCTCTTAGGGCTGGCGTCAATTTTGCAGCGCTGTCCCTCACTTAGGTACATGCGTGTCGTTCCAGCGCTGTCCAGCGCATCATCAAGGTCTAGATTGTGTACATGTAGCACATGTTGTTGACTGGGAGTCGCTCTGGGCGTCTGGTCAAATTTGGCGACCATTTAGTGCTGGGTGGACAACATTCTAAGGGTGAACTGTGTGGAGTCTCTGGGGGTCAGGTCAAATTTGGTTCGCGTTTAGGGTTGGGTGGACGGCTTTCTGGGGACGACGTTTTGGGGTCTTTGGGCTTTTCAGTGCGAATTTGGCCAGCCTTTAGGGCTTGGTGAACAGTATTCATTCTAGTGGTACATCTTGTGGCTCTTTTTTTTTAATTTTTCCAGTGGCCATCTGGCAGACCCGAGGTTTCATCTTCGAGTTTGCCGAACTTGGCCCTAGACCAGCGAACCAGACAGCCGACGGATTTGAATGGCATGGCTTGTGGATGTTGTTGGTGTGTGCTGATACAATGTGGATTCCAAATGCTGGAAGTGGCAAGGGATCCCTACATATATAACTATTGCTAATTTTCGGCCTGTGACATTCAGACGATCGGGGCCCTGCGATTTTACACTCCGCGACGGTCCCGATCGTCTGCTGATCGTTTGCTCTTAGAAGTCGAACCGTCGTGGGAGGCTCCCCGCCAGGGCCTGTACCGGGCCCACGCGCTAGTGCCGGTACCAAAGCGTGTTACCGGCCCTACCGCACGCGGTACCGGGGTTGCGCGTGACGCGCTACCAGTCTAGCGCCGCTACCGGTCCAGCGCCGCTACAATGTATAGAAACTACTTTCTGGGGCAAGCGCGCTGCGGACTTGAGGGCAGGTATACTGGACGGCGAGTTAGAGTCGACGCCTGTTCAACAAAGCTACCCGACTGAGTTGACGCCTGTTTTCAACACTCAAGCTACTCGACTGACTTCTACGCTGCTATGCACGACTACGACTTCGCTCTAGGTTGGGCACACACGCACACGCACCCGCACCCGCACACGCACACTCACACACGCACAGGCACACACGCACACACACACACACAGATGCACATACGCACTCACACACACACACACGCAAAAGTGGTGAGTCCTTGGCCATCCGTACAGTTCATCTCGGGCGGACTGTCGGGGTTCAACCTCCTGATGAGTCGGTGGAAGTCCGATGAAACAGTCTGGCTGAGTCATGTTGTGAGTTCTGTATAGCGAACATAACAACACT